GGCCCCATGGAGGAAGTGAGAAAGTTGGCACGGTCACGCAGGGCGTCGCAGGATCCGGTCACTCAGTGACAGATGGACAATGCAAGAATGAGCTCCTTCCTGGAATACCCCATCCTCAGCGGAGGCGACTCGGGAACCTGCTCAGCGCGAGCCTACCCCTCAGACCATGGGATTACAACTTTCCAGTCGTGCGCAGTCAGTGCCAACAGCTGCGGCGGCGACGACCGCTTCCTAGTGGGCAGGGGGGTGCAGATCAGCCCACCTCACCACCACCACCACCACCCCCAGCCGGCCACCTACCAGACTCCTGGGAACCTGGGGGTGTCCTACTCACACTCGAGTTGTGGCACAAGCTACGGCGCACAGAACTTTGGCGCGCCTTACAGCCCCTACGCATTAAATCAGGAAGCAGACGTAAGTGGTGGGTACCCCCCATGCGCTCCCGCTGTTTACTCTGGAAATCTTTCATCTCCCATGGTCCAGCATCACCACCACCACCAGGGTTATGCCGGGGGCGCGGTGGGCTCGCCTCAGTACATTCACCATTCATATGGACAAGAGCACCAGAGCCTGGCCTTGGCCACGTATAATAACTCCTTGTCCCCTCTCCACGCCAGCCACCAAGAAGCCTGTCGCTCTCCTGCGTCGGAGACATCTTCTCCAGCGCAGACCTTTGACTGGATGAAAGTCAAAAGAAACCCTCCCAAAACAGGTCAGTCCTAGTCTACTGCCAGCCCGTGGATGCTCTTTGATCATACTAGAAGGAGCTGGTGTGGTTAATTCTCAAGGAAATTTAATAACGATCTTTAAAAAAATAGTTCTTGCTTTCGATCGGTGTTGTGGGGCGGGGAGTTTGCCCAGGTGTGTTGAGGCATAGGAGCTTCTGGGACCGGTGGGTTTTCAAAGGTGCTGAGTTTGAGAGGTTCTGGAAGTAGTAAGTGAACGAGTGTGGGTTCTGTTAATATCTCCATTAATCACGGGTCTGATCAGGCTAATGGTTGACTACAGGTTAACGCATTACACTTCATCACTCACCCTCCCTAGCCCGGTTTGTGCAGACAAGTTCTTGATCTCTCCTTTACCTGCATGTTGGTCTGAAACGTGTAGGGAATAAATGTCCCTCATGTCGATTTAATTTTTTACTTTTTACTCCGGTTGCATTCCATCCTGCCCCCAGGGAAAGTTGGAGAGTACGGCTACGTTGGTCAACCCAACGCGGTGCGCACCAATTTCACCACGAAGCAACTTACCGAGCTGGAGAAGGAGTTCCACTTCAACAAGTACCTGACGCGCGCTCGCAGGGTGGAGATCGCCGCGTCCTTGCAGCTCAATGAGACACAAGTGAAGATCTGGTTCCAGAACCGCCGAATGAAGCAGAAGAAACGGGAGAAGGAGGGCCTCTTGCCCATCTCTCCGGCTACCCCTCCCGGAAGCGATGAGAAGGCCGAGGAATCCTCGGAAAAGTCCAGCTCCTCGCCCTGCGTTCCTTCCCCGGCGTCTTCTACCTCAGACACTCTGACTACCTCCCACTGAGGCCGCCCCAGTCCGAGCCCAGGCTTCTCCACGGAGCTGGGACTTCTAACCCAAAGCACATTCTTAGCTTATCTTCCCTTCCAGTTCCAGTCTCTCTCTTTCTGGTCCTATCTGGGGAGCTCCTGGTCAGGTTAATGTGTTTCCAGAGCATCCTAGACCAGAGATTTTGTGGGGGAGTAGTTCCTTCATCCAGACATGCCGGCCGGCATCAATGTTCTGATGGCCCTTAACAGCTCTACCCACTTTTCTATGTTCATAGAACCTACTATTCTTTTGGATGTTCTTTGGAAAATAGTACCCTTTGCCAGCAGAAACATGTCAGAGGGCGGCCTCTCATCTTTTACTTATCTGTATATTTACAGTCCTCCCCTACCCTGATCCTATAAGTAGGCTATATATATAGAGAAAGAGAGGAGAGAGTCCAGGAGCTCATGAAGAAGAGATGCACTATGAGCGTGTTTACACAATTCATCCCTTTATTTAATTCAGTTTCATGTGTATGAGTTTGCTGGTTGTAAATACTTTGTCCTGAGAGATTTATCTTTATACAGATTTTCTAGAAATGTTTGGATTAAGTGACTAAAACAGGGTGGGCAAACTCTCAAAGCTGGTACGATTTTGTATGTGATTAAAGGTGAAAGCATACATTCTCTGATTAAAACCCAATCAGATGCTTCAGAGGGTAGCCTCAATTCATTCTTTCAGTGAGTTAAGAAGGCCTGCCTACAGAGCACAAGGTTCAGAAACCTGGCTTCCTGTGCTAAGTCTCTCCCCATCCCTACCCCTTCTTGCTTCACTGGCCACCCCCTTCCATTTAAAATTTGTGCTGGATTATTCTGAACCTAAAGGTGTTATTCAAATCAGCTTCTTCCTTTCACAGTTATCTTAGCTGGATATGATGTATTTTCAGCTCAATTGTTAATGTGATGGATGGCGCAACGAGTATGTTTTGTGTGATTCGTGAATCGTCTTTTGCATGTCGCACAATGTTTTGATTTCCCTGAAGTACCACACTGAGTTCTATCAGTTATCCTTTGTGAGCCTATAATAGTCCCCATTTCCTGTACAATCATGAACAGCTCTGAGATCCTGTAGTGATGTGATCAGAGCAGAGTTACGGGTCTCAAGATGTCTGTAATAAATATATTCGAGTTTCAGGTATGCTTAAATGTCACTGTATTTGGCTGGGCTATAATTTGTTGATTCCTACAAATCTGATTCATTTCATGTGGTGAAAAGAGAGAAGGTTGGTATGTATTTTCCAAGAGGTGGTCCTTTTCTTGAATAAAAGTGAATACTTCCCATTATCATGTAGCCGAAGCTTCTCCCATGAGTGTAATTTCACCATATTCTTGTATGGTACCTAACCAATGTCTATTTAATAGGTTGATTTTCTTTAAAATAACAACAGCTTTATTATTATTATAATCAAAGTTTATAATGGAAAAAAATGAATGGTGAGGAAATTTATAAAGCAAATCTATTTTTGAAACAACATGGATACTTCCTGGGTCAAGTGCTGACCTTTTCACCTCCAACTGAATGTTGACGTATATATAAACAGAACCCCCTTCAAAAGCTGAAACTGTCTTCAGTCAGTCTTTCCTCACATCAGTGAACCAAGAGCTAAGAGATTCACATTTAATTAGCTCCAGTATAAAGCTGCCGTGGGCATGCCGCCCCCAACCCCTCTTCCTTCTTTTTGGATTGTCAGCCAGTGTTCCAATATGTTCCACCCTTTATATAGTCTGTTTTCAGTAAACCCTCACATCCCTCCCTCCAATTTCTCCTCTCAACATCCGCCCCTTCCCACTGCCCCCTTCTATCCCCATCTCCAGGTGACACATCTCAGTCTCTTCACATTCAACTTTGATTTCATTGCCATCGTGGCTGTAGCAGGTCCACAGTTCTAATAACATGCCACATAACCCAGGAAAAAAATTAGATTTTTTCCTTTGGGCTCACCATATTTTTCTAGGTAAATTTGTGGACCCCCTGCCCCAAGTTGTTCAATATCCAAGTTGCTTCTGACCACTGCATCTGTCTGCTCGCAAACAGAGGAAGCTAGCAAATGAAAGTGGCTTTCCTCCCAAACCTCTTACCGCTTTTCCTTTACTTTCACACATTTTTGGAGACTTTAATTTAGCCCTGAGAGTAGAACAGTAAATTTACAGCATTACAAACAAATACAGACATACGACTTCCTTCCTTTCTAAAGGGTGTTTTATGAAGGGCAGGCTGGGGAGAAAATCCTACAAAAACTGGAGTTTGCAGGCCTCCTAGAGCATCCGTGAGATTTCCTGCACTTCCCTGTCAAAAGCGGCAAGCCTGGAGTTTGCAGGCACTGTTGCTGCGGCCATATCAAGGGCACAGGGTGTCCTCCCATCGCCTTCTGGATTCTGGGGTTGCCTCTAAAACACTCAAGTGGATGGAGAACTTCAAAGACAGCCAACTCTTTCTTTCATTTCCCCGCCTGGCCTTATACTGTATCTTTTGTTTATTAGTGTAAGGCCACAAAGCAAAACAGATGGCTGGTTTCCAAATACTTTAATGTGCTAAAGTGTCATTTGCATGTCACTGCCGTGATTTCAATATCTAAAAGCAGGGCCCTACACGCCGGAATCCCAGAGATGCCAATCTTTAAGGTGCCGGTTTTAATGTAGCTGAGAGAGAGAGAAGAACGATAAATTATGGCTAAACATCCCAAGCCTTCTCTATGTCGTGCAATAAATCAGTTAACAAGCAATGCATTTAGGAAACATTAATATAACTTTCAGCAAGGAAAACATTTGTATCTTTTTAGCCGTCCCAATCAATTAAATCAAAAGTGCTTAACACATTCTATTTCAAGGTCTCTCTTTTACTGTTTTTGTCTCTGAGGAAAGTAGTTAGCTCCTTGAAAAATGACAGCAATAGTAACTGAAACGACCTAAAGAGGGAAAACAGAAAGTAATATTTTACTGAAAAAATTTAAAAGGACAACAAGGATCTCAATCAGGGACCTGGGATAATTGTAATATAAAATTTCAGTTTTCAAATGCTTTTTCCTCACTTCCCCTGCATTTATCCAAAGTATTCCTGAAATTCTGGTGTCCCCAAACTAGACTGAGTTGAGATCTTGCTGTGGCCCTGAAGTATGCTCTCGGCTTCACCTTTGAAAGTTTACTTTTGGAGGCTATTCAGATGCCGTGGTGTTTTCCTCTGGGGCAATCAGATTCAAACCGATCAATATTTACTCAGTCTGAAAGGGTTGTTGAAAAGGCTGCTAACAACAAACTGCTTAGCTGCTCACCCCTGTTTAATCTCAGGTTCACCGAAAGTTCAAGAAGAGATGAATGCAGTGATGGGTCACTTTAGAATGAGTCCCAGCGGTTTATCAGAGCTCTCCGCTAAAGGCAGCAATTATAGTTCCATCCCTCTTTGGGGAAGGGGCAACTTTCCTATTATTCTTTTGCTAAACAGTGTTTACTAGAAACTTAAAACACTTTCCTCTCCCCTCCTGTTTTTTTTTTTTTTTTTTTTTTTTGCTTCTAGCTGCTCTTTTCTCGCCCCCTTCTCTAGCTTTTTGCCAATACCCATGTTTCATTTGATTTTAAATAAATTACATTGAATATGTAAAAAACGTTATATTAGTCTGACAGAAGAGATCCGATTTATTTCAGATGCTACGAGCTATGAAATGAAGCTCGTTGGGCCATTAGAATTTATCTTCTTCTCGAAAAGTACAGGGCAAGATTGAATTGAAATCCATCTGCGTTTGAGTAATACTGACAATCAGAGCCCCAATATCCATCTGATATGGCTGTTGAGACAGGAATAGAGGGGGAGGACGGGAAACAGACTTGTACAGAAGCAAATACCTCAGATGGAAAGGCAACTTAAAAATTTTATGCCCTTCTAGTGCATGAACTACTGGAAGATGAGAAAAGAAGACCCAGGGAAGCCAGCTGGGAATGGCGGGTAGAAGAGGCTGGACACTGAAGCTAATTGCTACAGCTCTTCAGAGGTCAAAGTTCATGTAATCACTGCATAAATGCATACTAAATAGGGATTTATTAAGCTTTTCTGATGGCTGAGGACGTCTGTGAAAAACGGTCACTGCTGTTTGTGTTTCTTCCTTAAGAATAATCATTCTTAAAGTGGACAATCTCGGTGCTTGAGTCTGTAATTTACTATTTTTGAAAGACAGGCAACCCTTCTGTTTTAAAATTTCAAAATTGGTGCACGGATAGCATGTTTCTGGGACTGTAAAATAGCTCTCTCATTCTTAGAAATGTTATGGCGTTTTCAATACACACAAGAACACAAGTTAGCATACCCCATCAGATAAACTTCTCACTGGATGGCTAACTTTGGTGACCCTCCGCTGTAGAGCCTACTTTGTGCCTATATTTCTGAGAGCACACAAAAGTTTTGCCTTAGGACTCCCGATGCCTAGATGTCTAGAATTAGGAGGAGCCCCATCTACTCAAGCTCTCATGGTTCAGAAAGACAAGGCACCCAGAGGTGGACAGATTTGACTTAGAGCACATAGGTGTATCAGTACTTTTATTTCTTAAGAAAAAACCAGGGAGGCTTAGAACCTGAGTCCAGTACATTTCTTAGTTCTAAAATCCTGGTTTGATTTTTGCTCTCCATTTGTTCTACACAATTTGTTTCAGGCTGGATAGTGTTTACTTTTTTCCACTTTTGGTTTACTGGCCATTCACTCATTAAGCCCTTGATTTTGAGGCCGTCAGGGTTACTGAGTCCTTGAAACAACGTCCCAGCTGAATATTTCTTGCTTGAATAGTAAAATGTTGGGCTACTTCCCTTTAAAGACATGTTCTTAAAATACAGAAAGAGAGATAGTGCAGGTAAAATTCAACACAGAAATTTATTTTTGTTTTTTAAACCTAGACTCAGGAAGAATAAATGAAAGAGAAACTGCCTGCACCCAAGTTCCGACCTCCATTCAATTGTCAAAGATGTCAGGTAGGAAGGGCCTAGAGATGCAAGGAACATTCCAGGAGGGGTCCCAACCCTGAATCTTTTCTTCTGTCTGGTTTGTAGCACAGCACAGCCTCCTTAATTGTTCTGGTTCATATTTCTTAACTTTCTCTGTGACTCACTAATGTAACTAAACACACACACACACACACACACACACACACACACACACTCTCAAGAAAGAAGCCCAAACCATTAACACAAAGTTGCAACACAACTTCATCTCTGTCACTGCTCCTCTCCCCCCCCCCATCTCAGTGGAACCTGCTGTCCAAAGGGACATCTATGGCTGTCAAGTGTTTGAAGAGCTAAGCTGGAATCCCCAGCGTTTTAGAGCCTTGTTTTTAGTAACACCAGCAATCAAATTTAGCTGACCTTGATGGCAGAAATGCAAGCCAGTTATCAATGAAGCAACTCCGTTCAGTAGGTGCTAGCTTATAAACGCTTTCACCTTTCTTGGGGGGGGGGGCGGCAATCCTAAGCCCCAATTACATCCTGCAAAGTATTCTGGAAACACTGCATTTTGAGTTTATTGGAAATAAATGAAAAGACTATAATGTTTCCTTTTCAACATTTCCAGACACAACTAAAATACGTGTCTCCATTTTTTAAACAGTCCATTAAATTTTATTCTTACTAAACTTGTATTTGTAAAACTCAAAGGAGCCCTGGCGGCGCTGGGCTAGGCTGCTAATTCAAAGGTTGGCAGTTCGAACCCAACAAACCAGCTCCTCTGCGGGATTCCGTACAGATTTACAGCCTTGGAAACCCTATGAAGCAGTTCTTTATCCTATAGGGTCGCTATGAGCTGGACTTGACGGTGATAGGTTTTGGTTTTGTAAAACTCGTCACAAGGCTAATCTATATAAATCAGATTGTCTTGCGTTCTCATTTTAGGCTTGCGTGGTTAATCGGTTAAGGAAAAAAAATACGAAACTGCTTGCAACAAAAAAATAAAGGAAAAATATTGAATGACTTAAAAAAAAATTGGGATACTTTTAGCTATGCTGGACATTTTGCAAATTAAGACCTGCTTCATTTTAAAAGAAAAATCAGCACAGAACCATAAACGGGAAGGCAGAAACCAATGATTTACGATGGTGGGGTCTTTTTTCCTGAAATATCAGCACATATGGTTCTGGGAAAGTATGAACGGGA